GTCGCTCGCTGTGATTCAGAGGGTCAGTTTGTGTTTTCATGTTGCAGATGGCCGACACTGAGCCACAGGCGTTCCCCGTGCTGCAAGGCCGTCGCTCAGAACACACCAGCTCAGCCTGCTCTGCAGCCAACATGCTACTTCCTCTCTCAGAGGTGAAGAGGAGAGAAGAGAAAGAGAGAGAGACTTCTTCAACTGCACACTGACCAGGTTGAAAAAAGCAAAGTGATGCCAAAGGAGGAAACTGATTTATCACACCTCAGAGTTACGTGAAATCTGTTCAAAGCAAAAGAAAAAAAAAAACATCCACTGTATCTCTGCAACAAGTGAAACTTTGAGAAATACCAAAACAACTACCGAATACGAGCATAAACGGAAACTGGCTGATCACTAAATAAGAGCATAACTCTCTTATGTGATGACACCTTTGGTACAGATGTGCAAAAACTGAATGAATTGTTTCGCAAACTAACAAATAGCAGCCAATCTGAGCCCGGTTCCTCTTCAATAAATTTAATCACAGCCGTTATTTAGTTTCCTGTGATATGGTGAAATTTTTTAGTAGGAGTTCCAAAAAATAGAGAAAAATGTCTCAATAGGGTGTGATGTGATTCTTTCTAGGTGTGTTTTATTTCTGCAGACATCTCTATCTGAGAACCTGGGCTTTATTTTCCCAGGAAATTAATGTTTTTCTTAAAAAAAAAAATACTGTTAAGGAAGTTCAATTTTCAATGTATCTGTAAAGCAAAAAAAAAAAAACAGATTCAATAATTATTTTCATATCAGTATTTGAAAATTGGCAGCCAAATCTCTGATCAGTGCACCTTTAACAGTAGACAGGCTGGACTATAACTGGGTCAATCTGGAATGGACTGCAGCACAACCATTAATTATATAAGAATCTGATATACACCACTAAACCCAACATATTTCCCAAAGCAGCCATTTGCAATCCAAAGAGTCATTTTTCCCCTCACTCCAGCAAAACAGAGCCACAAATGTTACGTGAACTGTTCTGTTTCTATTTCTATGTTTGAAATACAGAAAAACATAAAAGTTGGTCAAATAAAACAAATGGAATGGATAAACTATTTTCTGTAGGATGCTGAAATAATGTAAAAAAAAAAAAAAAAAAAAAAAGTTTCAAACCTAAAGACAAACAAATCAATCCAAGAAAAGTCTTTTATTGTGGAAATTCAATGCCATTATTCCATAATAAAAGAGGAAAAAACTACTAAAAACTTGCTTTCGTTATTTGAGCTATACTTAGCTAGTTCTTGTCAATTTTTAGTCAAAAGTATTAGGAGCCACTGTAGAAGGTTCAAAGAGCCACTTGCAGTTCTGAAGCCTCATGTTGCAAATCCTAAAGGCTGCTGTGTGGGACAGAAAGTTTGTGCTTGACTAACTTAATGATAGTTAATAAGGTTTGTATTTGGAACCCTGGTGATCTAAAAATATTATCAGCTTTAAGGTTTGGGAGAAACTCTTTCACAATGTAATCTCTTGATCGCAGGACAAACTGTTTACTTGGAGCCGTCAAGGATAAATAATGGAGAACAAAGTGGCTGTTTAGCTCTGCTCTTTCAAGTGAATGTGGCCAAGGAGATTTGAGATCTCTTTATCTCTCTTTATTTACCCATAATTCCTTTAATCTATCAGACAACCTCTTCTTCCTGTCATGAAAGATCAGGGGCAGATTAAGCTGGTGACGGTGTATCTCCAGCACACTCCTGCTGAAGGCTGGCGGAGGAGGAATTTGAGTCCAAACAGGGCACTGTGCTCCACAGCTCAGGTGGACCAGAGTGAGTAGAGGCGCTGGTTGTCCTTCAGAGGGTCTTATCTAATCAAAAGCAAAGATCTTGAGAACCACAGTGAGCTTCAGCATGGTCAGCTGGTGCCAGAGTGACCTTCTGTAGCCAAGGATGGACTATAGGGACGAGCTGAACCTACAGATAGGAGAAGATGACTCGACTCCAAAGCAACATACCGAGCTCACTGATAAAAGAAAACATTCTGTTCATTTTTGAAAAGAAAATATGAGGCTCCCTGGAAAAAAAATATAAACTTTAACTCTAAGGAGGCTTGTAGAGTTTTGAGGGTTTATTTAAAAAAAGAAAGAAAGAAAAACAATCAAAAGCTAAGTCGGGTTAGAGGCAAGGGCTTTGTGTGAAATAAAAACAGCATTATTTAAGAGGCCAAAACTAAGCTCAGAGTGTAAAGTAAAGTAAAGTGATTAAAGAAGTAGTTATATTTATGACCTTTTTTCACCCTCATGTCCTCAAGTCTTCATGAAGCACATAGACGGGATTATCTCGTCAGAATGTATTTCTGATGATATTTCATAAATATTACAGCACAAATGATTAAACCAGAGTAAAGCCAACATTTTTTTGAAGCTGTTAGTTGACAGTGAACCACGGTAACGTAGTGTTTGCTGTCTGTAATGGAAAAACTGGGTTTAGCATATTGATCAGTAGTTTCATTAGAAAAGTGGGAGGTAAATGTAAATGGTGTCACAAAGGAAGAAGGCTTTATCTTTGGTTGATTCATGTGGTTCTATGTTAATAATAGACAATTTGCACACAAAAAATGAACACTGAAAGACAAGGTAAATAATATTGATCTGATAAATTATTAACTTAAGGTAGCTCCATGCGTATTGCACCTGTGACAGAGTTTGAATAAATTCACTCAAACTCCTGAGTAGACAGATTTGTAGTAGGGCCAATACTTTAATACCTTAATTTAGATTAAATAATTTTAAAGCGTTAAAAATGTTAATGCAATTAGTCATCTTTTTGATTATTTCTTTAATTTTACATACAAAGTTTCTGTCTGGAACCCTTGTATATGTGCATTTCTGGTACAACCATAAATCTGACACACAAGCAACATCCACAAACAACCCTGGACGACAAAGCCACTTCTCTTGGGTCACTGGGGTTTTAATTTTTGCTTCATAAAACAATCTGATGGGATGCAGGAAAAGACTATTGCTCTTTTCAGGTTGTCCTAAAAGGAGTTAGCCTATCAGTGAAGCTATTCAAGTTTGAAATAGCATCTCGATGCTAAACATGTAGCAGAAGCACAAACATCCCCAACGCTAATGTCAACGATCAATCACAATCCACATTTCTGAAGAAGTATTTAAAAATGCTAAGTGAGTGATCAGGGGTTTACACCAATTTGATGGACGAATAACCTAAATAATGGATGCAAAACAATAGATATTTTTGTCGTTGAGCCCATTTGTCAATTTATTCAATAATTTACCAGGAAGAAGTGGTTTTAAATTGAAAATGCTGCTTTTCTTTTACATGGTTTTCTATAAAAATACAATTAATTGCAATTATTTAATTGATTACAGACCCTGAAATTAATTCCATTAGAAATTTTTCGAGTCCAACCATTAATTTGTAGATATGACAAATGTGCTTCAAATCATTGCCTTATTATGTTATCAGTGGACACATCCAAAGAATACGAGGGACTCACTTCGCAAAAATATGTTTCCTCACATGCAGGGAAACTGCTGCAAAAAACAGTTTTCTGGATCATCATGAACTTTAGGTTTTGTTGCAGCCAAGAAGACCAGGCCAGCCCCAGAACCGTCTGCTCCTGAGGAATGTGCTGTAGAATTATGGTTGACAGGGCTGGCTATACATCTGCACATAGACTGAGGCCTTTACTTTTCACAGTAAAGTATCCTCATACAGTTCATGTGTTTGGAGTGGGCTTCCTTACATTTCTATCCAAAACCATCACCACGAGCAGAGTATAATCAAAATATGAAATGAGCACAATACTAGCCAACATGATGAAGTACCATGTCACAAGCCATGTGACATGGTACATGTAAATGAACATTTACATGTAAATGTTCATATAAATGATGAACATTTAGATTGTTCATCAGAAAATGTAAATGTTCTGGTGAACATTTACATTTTGTACATCAGAACAAAATGTAAATGTTCTGATGAAAGATCAGAACATTTACATTTTGGATGCATCTCCAAAAATTCTCTGGATCTGTCAAGCCTTCACATAGAAACTAAACTCGAGCAGGTCAGAGTGAACTGCAGACATTAAGAAGAAGGGAAAATTGTATGTCTCATAAATATGGTGCATTTGCTGAGACTAGCTTTCTTAAAATTGAAAGTGACTTTTAGTGTTCTACAGAATAGCCTAGAAAGAAGCAAAAAAATTAAAAAGCTGCACACTGTTGTCGACTATAAAGGAACATTCACAGTTTAAAGCTGTGATATCTAGGTTTAAGATACATGCAACAAAAGCAAAACATCAATCTCTCAATTAAAATAATAGAATTATTATTTGCAATTATCATCTGTATGAGAGAGCGATTATCAAATGGGTATTATTATCATTATGTTGTAAAACGCCTCAGCAGTGCAGGAACAGTTCTTCTCCTGCAGGTACTTCAAAGCTGCTTTCTGGATTCCACTCAGCAGCTCCAAACTGCAAGCCTGCACATGCTACCCTACACACGGTGGTGACAGCTAAAAATCCAGACGTGAGACTTCTTCACTCATGATTCACGTTCAAAGTATGGCTGACGAGTCGCAGTCCAGCCGCAGGATCTACGGCGTAAACCCTGAAGATGGGGAGGGGTTTCACTATCAGGAGATATGAAGAGGACCAACAAAATACTTGATCCTTTTCTAAAAGTTGAAAAAACTTTTAGGTTCAGGTAGAGAAAACTGATGTGATCGGGTTCAGATAATAGACGCTTTACTTGGTGAATCTGTGTGAGTTCGTCACATACTGCTGTGTGTTAAAAGGTCACACCAAGGTATCAAAATGCACAGAGTGTGTGGATTTTCTCAGAAGCTGGTCATGAGAGGATGGCCTTTTTCAGGCGCTAGATAGATGAGGAGGCGGAGCTAATTCAGATCAAATGGAACAAAGTTGAACTTTAATCTTTAGAAAAAGATATCCTCAGACGTTTCTGAGCTTTGTTTGCTCAAGTGTGAATGACTCACTCTTGCAGGCGTGCTGTCTGGGCCCTGTGCAGCATGTCCTCTCAGGTTAATGACGTGGACCTCCTGAGACAGGCTCATGGTGCCTTTGCTTGCACAGCCTGACATGGCGGTGAAGCTCTTCAGGATGGCCTGCACAGGGTGTCCAGTCCCAACCGGCAGCAGCTCACATGGACTGCGAAGCAATGGCCCTTCGAAGCAAAGAAAAATCACAAAGAACACATACATCACATGTATATTAAGGGAATATATATCTGTAATTTTTAATCAATTTGATAAGCACATATTGGATAGTATGAAGCTAAGCAATAAATAACAGCTTTATACAACTATTCGTTCACCTTGAATTTTTCCCACTTTTTGGCAAAAAAGATTACAGGAAACTGATGCTGCTCATCGCCATAAACATATCATGTCTACAGTGAGACATGGTGGTAAGATTTGATTCAAATCCCAGTAAAATTCTGAGAAGTTTGTGGTTGCTTTGGTCAAAAAGGGCAAGACACCTTAATCAGGGCTCTTGCAGGTTTCAGCAAGTCAAATTTAAGACTGTTTAATACCTTTTAAATGCCACTTTGAATAAGATTTATAACCAAAATACAATAAATATAGAGGATGATGGGGAGATTCTGCTACACTACAATCAAGCATGGCAAAAACTAACATTTCGGAGGCTGCTTGCGGATATCGGGAGAGTCTGTGTGCTTCTCACAGTGCATATGGCTCTCTACAGTCTTAACTCCTGTAGCACCAAGCTTAAAAGGTTTTGTTTTGTTTTTTACAGCCTTGTATTGGTTGGCAACAGAAGTGAGCCAGTAGCAAAAATGAACATCATCCAGGCAACTAGACAAAAGAGGTGAAGTTATGATTGAGTCGTGTATACAGAGGGGAGCAACCTAAATAAGGACAGGATCATGTTTTAATTATGGTCTATGTCAGGGCTTACTATACATGAAACTACATTTAAGCAACAAGATTTATGGGTTGTTTACAGGCTGCACTGAAGAATGAGGGCAAGCCACACTGTACACTTCCGTTCTGTCTGCCATCTGTACAACCCACTTACTCAAAGCCAGGGTCTTTACTTTGTCACCCAAAGGCACCGTGGTTCATAACAAGATTCAGTTGTTGAAGCAAAGCAGCACACTGCCCAGCAAAATGTGGCTTTGACATGGTCAGGTTTTCACCTCTCAGTTCATCCTTGCCTTGTACCAGTCAGGGAACTCTAACATTTCAAATGCACCGCATTAAACCCGCAAAGCTTGCCAATGGCAATCTGATGGAACATGTGGAAACAATTAAAGTTTGAGAGCAAGACAGTTCGATGGCAAATGTAAATTTTCCCCCGACTGAAAACATAGTGCCTCAGCAGAGGGATAAACCACTGGGGAAAAGTCGGCTTCTTTTTCAACCTCGAACACACAGCCATTGTTTTCTCTTTCTGTGCTCTCCAATAAGTCTATGTTAGATCAGCATAAAGCTACACATCACACATGGCACAGCTCCCCTGCGTTTGTTGTGAGAAAATCAGGCACGTTTTATTGTTCCCATACTTGTCTGACAAGGAAAAAAGCTATCTCGAGCTGAATTTTGTGCCACCATTTATCCAAACACAGGGAGACAGAAGCTTATTAGGAGCTTAAAGATCATGTTTAAACTGATTAAGACAAAGTAAGATCCCGCAAGGCGATAAAAACAGAAGGCCTAATGGCAAAAACCTGTGATGGATCAGTATTTCCACCCTCTGCCTTTGACCCTTATACCCGCTTCCTCCCAAAGGAGCGCAGGCAATTCCCTCCCTGAACATGTCATCACATCTCACTCCCACAAACACATCCGAGGGCACTCCGACTCACTTTTTCCCCCCTACTCACATGGAGAATAACAAACAACCGCCAGACAAACAAAGAAAAACGCAGCTCCTTGTCAGAGACTTCCAAGAGATTACAGCACCAGCTGGAGAATGATCTGATTTTTTAATTGTTTAGGAGCACAAGAGAACAAACGATACAAAGAAAGGGAAAAAAGTAAGGAGACTACATTTTTTTGCCAGTACACATTTAGGTAAATAAAGGGATAGTTTAGAAGTTTTAAAGAAAGTTGCTCCTTTAAGACTTTTTAATACCTTTTTAATACCATTTTAATGCCACTGTTATCAACTTAAAAAGTTGATAATAGTGGATAACTTTATTTTGTTGGTTCCTGATATTTGGACTAGTCTTAGAGGAACCAAGATTAGAGCAAATTATTCATGTTTTTTAAACTTTTCGGGAAAATGTCTCAGGAACTTTATTTAATGCTATTTTGTAGATTTTTATAATTCACTGCTTCTATTCCCAGAGAGTTACTTAGGGCAGAAACAACCTACGTGTTTTGTGGCCAGTATGTGTGTCACACAGGAAGATAATTGGTGGCCCACCATCTCCAGCCCCCATTTCCTGTGTGCAATTACCATTGGACTATGCTCATAACCATCCAAAACAACTGTGACAAGCTAAGCTTCATAAAGTACTGCTCACATAAGTCAACAGAATATTTTTGAGCTTCTATTTTGGTGCAACCTCATTTTATTAGACATAGACACGTTCTGTAAAAATTTGGCAGCTTCAAGAGTTTCAATGAAAATGTATAAACAAAAGCATTTTCAGTTATTCCTACTCTGGCTGTAATAATTAGGGGTGCAACAATACATCAGCCCCAATTTCTTTCATTTTGGGAGATCTGCAATCAGCTGATACGTGCTCAGTAGCAGGTGGGGAAAGGGAAATGTTTCACTATTGCATGCTTCATATATAACATAACTTAGTTCTGGCCCCTCTTGTTTCAGGGACCAACTAATCTGATTTATACTCAAAGAATCTGCTACGAGAGTTATCAACAGGAGGTATGGTCTGAACTGCCTTAACCCCTTCAGAAGCCCTGAACTGTCCCTTTAGTTAAAATCCCTGGTTCTGTTTCCATTGCATATGTAATTTCTATTAGACTAAAACCAGAAGACACAGGAAATAAAGCTAGCATCTGTTGGTTCCACCACATAATCCGTCTGCTTCTCTCCCCCGCTTCTGTCCTCATTTTCAGTTTGGTTGTTTTCTATCCAGGTCAGGCTTTTTACCCCAACCGTAATAAGTCATAGAGGTCACACAGTAATGGCCACAGGCTTTTAAATTTGGTTATTGACATTTCATTGCTCATATTAGTCAAATGTGAACCTTTGTGAGATAATCAAGTAAATTGGTGCCAAAACTTTTAGACAAAGTTCTATTGCAAATGTATTTAGTAGATACTATTGTATTAATGCAACCCTTTTAAGTCTGTAAGCAGGGCATATATATAATTAAGAGATTTCAATGAGTCGATATATGTTTCTTATTTTTGCCAAATGAAACTCTGCACGTTTAAAATTGTGTCAAAGAAAAAGCTCTTTGAAGCCATTTGAAAACGGCTGCTTAAGCTTTAAACGCTGATGCTGACTGGATTATTATCAAGAGAAAGATCTGAAACAGTTCAGGTTTTGATTCTTGACAGCCACTGTAAAATGGAACAAACAAACAAAGGCTCAGAAATAGATTAGTTTGTTTAGATTATGGAATCCAGAAAAAACATGGCTGCTATCCAGACTGCTGTAGTTCACTGGAGCCACAGTGGCCTTAAAAAGCCTAAGGGAAGCTTGTTTTGAACGTTAAAATAAGCTACATAATAGCTTAAAAGTGAAACACTTCATTTCAGACAGGCATCAGGAAAGGCAACTTTCAGTGACAGTCGCTGGTGTAAAAACCACGTGTAATAGTGAAATAAGACCTTGTGGTTTTAGCTCTGAGGCTGAGAAGTTAAAAGCACTGAGAAACTTTCACCGCCTCGCTTATTCTCCCTGGTAGTCGGTGGCTACAGAAACAAAGCTACCAGGACTTGAGCTGAGTCTCAAACTGAGTTAATATGCAGGAAAACCATCTTGCTGCCAATTAAAAAATCAGTCACCTTAAAGCTCGTGGCGACAGAGAATGTGCACCAGTAGCTATAAAACATGTGATGTTCAAATTGCCGCCCCTATTCTATTTCTTATTATTTGTGTTCAGAGCAACAACCACAAAGAGAAAACTGATACCTAAAACACAAATGTGCTTCTAGTATGACTCACTGACAAGTGTGTGGAGGAGTCGGCATGCAACCCAAAAGATTGGCTTTTTGTTGTAAGGCAAGATGATCTAAAGAAAAACTGAACCCTTAATTTCATCAACCCAGTAAGCTTTGTTACTGTTCTTTGGATATCTTCAGAGGGATTCAGCTTTTCTTCAGCATAGCTGTACCTTCACTGTGTTCTTCAGTAAGCAGGGTGGTTCTCCTTGTGACTGATTTCATACATATTGAAAGAAAATGACGTGGAATATTCATATACAGCTCTGCTGAGGTTGATGTGTCCTCACCATAGTAACATAGAAAGGCTGAGATGCAACACCAGCTCAGCAAAAAACACCACTTTGGACTCTTTCAATCTCTTTTAAACTGAAAATGTGGATGAAAAGCTGCAACTTTTTTTTAAAACTTAACTCTACATCTCATTTTATGTTCTTGCTTAAAGTGTTGTTTTGGGTATTTAAGTTTGAAAACATGCTTATTCATCAACATTTTCCACCCCAAGAGCCCTGATACGCTTGAGCAGCCCTGTTTTCTGTTTGATCGCTCTACTTTGGTGATTCTTGTTACTTTGAATTCAAACTTCCTTCTATCAATTTTATTGTCATTATGTTTAAAGTTTGGGCACCCTGTCTGCTTCTGCGTCTGATTACATTCTGAACATATCCACTATAGTTCTGCAGGGACGTTCAAGTTGAAGCATCTGAAATCAAGGCAGACGTTTCCACTGTTAGAAGTTAAAATATCCATTGTAAAATCTGAAGCTGTCATCTTCCATTGTCCTTCATTTTAGTGAGCGTAACACTCTTTTCAGTTGTGGTCAGATTCTCCAGAGTTCATGAGCGGGATTTGCTGCAGAATGACTGATTGTTCACAATGTGTTAAACACATGGACATGAAAGACTAAGCACCAGTGACTGACGTTCACCTTGACCTATGCTTCTATCCACACAGTTAAAAGTTTATTTGTTCAATTTTGGCTTTGGTATGAGGTATGCATAACACGAGCCTAACAGAAATCTTGAATTTGCCTCCTAAGATCACTGGAGGCTTTATTTAT